CAGAGAGCTGCAGGCCGGGTCTGGAAGACGCAAATCTGTCCACTGTGGCACGAACATGAAGTTCATGGTGAGGATTCATGGGAGGAGGGTCTCCCCAAGAGCTCCTGGCATCGAGTGATGGGGATCTACCATGCCATCTGACTGGGAGTCAGACAGAGGAATGGCATGGATAGAAAGATGAAGTGGAGCTGGCCCTGCGGCAGAGTGGACTAAGCCTCCACCTGCGGTGCTGGCATCCCACGTGGGCATCAGTTCATGTCCAGGCTGTTCCTCTTCCAATCCAGCCTCTGCTCTTAACCTGAGAAAGCAGTGGAAGATGGCCCAAGTGCATGGCCCTTGTACCCACATGGGAGACCTGGAAGAAGCTCCTGGGCTTTGAATCGGGCCTGTTCCAGCCGTTGCGGCCATTTGGGGAGTGAACCAGTGGATGGAAGACCTCTCTCTCTCTGTCTCTCTCCTCACACTACCCCCGTAACTCTGCCTCTAAGATATATAATTAAAATCTTTTTAAAAAATTAAAAAGAAAAGATAACGCAGGGAAGCTGGGTTAGAGCAGTCGGCCTGGAGGCTGAGTCAGGTTTGGACTTGGCAGGGGCTGAACCCGGCTGGTAGCAGTGGGGGCAGAGAAGGGATCGAGGCCAGAGACCCTCAGGCACATTTCAGGCATAAAAACTGCAAAGCAAGTGCATCCGGGGACCCATATTTCATCTATACAGTGGAGCAATAACGATTAGAGGAAGCACTTGCCAATAAAATATAAGTGGTTTGTGGTCTGAAGCTGCAACCATGCTTGTAATAAAGGTAATTGAAAAGAAAAGCCCAATTTGGGGTAATAAGGGCACGGGAAACCACATAACCCCATTATGTGGATTAAATTCATCCACACAGTGGGTGAACCCTGGGCTACGTTCATCCTTCCTTGGCGCAACTCCAGCCAGACAATCGCACTCCAGGACCAGGCTCCAGGCAGGGCTGACCCCCTATGATTCAGGCCATTGTTAGCCACACGGGGTATCTGCAGGCGTTGGGTTCTGATCCCAGCTCTGAACCAATACAGGGAGCCAAGTGCTCGCGGAGAAAGGGGAGGTCTTGTTTTAATCCAGGGACTTAGAATTAGGTTGGTCACTTGTTAGTGGTATGACCTTGAACCCATGACCTCGAACCAATGACTTAGCGTCTCTGTGTTTTAGTTGTGTCATCCATAAACTGGGATGTGAATGTACCCATTCAGTAGTGATGAGGTTTAGATTAATCAAGAACGCTTAAGAACAACTTCGTAGGTAAGTGTATGTATTATTTATTGGTCCATGACAACAGATAATGGCCAAAGCCAGACAATTATGGAACCGGCTATTCTGAAGACGAGAGGTGAGCAGAGGTGAAGCAGACGTTGGGTTCAGCTTTGGGTCTTGAGTTTTCAGAGCCAAAAAGACATGCAATGATGCCTATTCATTATTATTCATTCAGTTAACTTAATTCTACAAACTTTGATGGAGCGGCAGCTCTGTGTCAGGTGCTCTGTAAGCCCTGGAGGTACTGGGGTTCCACTGTGATGTTTTTGCCTTCATCCCTTTATCTTCTGGTGCAGGGCAGGTGGAAATCTAAAAAAAGTTTCTCCAGAGGAGGGCTTGCCTGGTTGCCCACAGTGAAGAGATTGCTTTTCCCAGATTACTAAGCCAGCACAGGCTAAGGCAACAGGGCCGGGCTGATTTCTCTGTAGCTGCCTCCTTGTCCAGGAGAGACTGCCCCTCGGTGTGTTCCTTCCTACAGAGGTTCCTCTATTGTGAACCGACACAGTGATGTTCAGAGAGCCCACATTAAGGGGGAAAGCCCCAGGGGATGGTGGGGGGGGGAGAAAACCACCCAGGTGGTCTATATACTAGGTGACAGAGTCAGCATGGATAACCTGGGCTGTGCACCCACAGAGGAGGCCCTGCCAGGATGCTCAAGTCCCTCCATCCTGAACCACATCCTCCTCAGCAGGCTGGGGCTGGGGCTGGGGGAAGTCCCCGTCTCGTGGATCACAGGTCGTCTGGGCCACGAGAGAAGCAGAGAAAACAGCAAGATGGAAGTGGCCGCAGGTTCTCCCGCAGACAGGGAGCAGGAGAGGCGAGAACACATCCACTGGCTCATTTCCCTCGCGTGCCCCCACCAAAATGACTCATGTGCCTGCAGCCTGTGCCACCTCGTGGGATACGCGGATCAGGGCACGCACTCCTCCTTTCTCCACAGAAGCAGTCTCGGCTCAGCTTTGCTGAGGCATTAGTTAACAATCCTGGCCCCATTACATGAAACTTGCCAACAAAGGGCCCTACGCCGAAGGAGAGGGAGTCACCAGCCCAAGTAGATCAACAGGTTGCCGGGAGTTACAACATCCCGGCGCCTGTGCAGCGCTGAGTTATGGTCCATGGCCCTCGGTGATCAGGCTTGGAATCTTTGCTTGGGGAGGAGGTCCCAAGGACTGATGATTCTCGAAAGTTTACTATCAGGGGTGGGGGAAAGGTTACCTCATCCCCTAGAAATCCTCTGCAACCTCAGATGCTCCTTGAGCTGGCTGGAGCCTAGGGAAGCCCCCCCGCCCCGCCCCCAGCAGAGTGCTGGCTCTCCAAGTCTGCTGCCCTGTAGGTGGTGGAGAGAGGGTGCTCAGATCCCACCCCTGACCTATGACATCAGAGTCTCGGGGCGGGGGAGGCCGAGCATCGGTGGTTTCCAAACCCTGCAGGTGGTGCTTCCAGGGATCAGCAATGTTTCAGCCCATGGCCTGGACCTGTGCTATCCAAAGTGCGCTCTGCGGCCCTGCAGTGCGATGGTGGGGGGGGGGGGGGGGGGGGGGCGAGGGGCTGTTGGAAATGCACGTTCTCAGGTCCCACCAGGGACCTCCTGAGTTGGAAGCTGCAGCTCCGTCCAAATGTGAGAAGCAGTTACTTCTCTTAAAGATCAGACAACCCGGCAACAGTGGGCCCAAGTCTTTCTCTGCCATGGCCAGCTGGAGTTGTACAGCGGTTGCTCCCTTTCAAAGGGACACCCCAACACAAACACACACAAGCGCGCACACACACACACTCTCACACTCCAGTTTGCTACAGTCCCACACCTGGCCAGGCCTCTTACCTTCCATTACCTACTCAAACATGGTCAGAATCAGAAATTTTTCAAGATGTGGTAAAATGTTACCATCAGTGACATGCAGCCCCTCCACAACGTGGTGCAAGCGTCACCATTACCCAGTTTCAGAACATTCTCATCCGCTCGGAAGTGAACACCACACCTACTAAGTAGTTACTCTCCCTCCTTGCATTTCCCTCAGCCCCCTGGCCAGTGCTCATCTGCCTTCTCTCACGGTGGGTTTGCTTTTTTGGCTGTTTCCTAACTCCTACAGCCTTTTGTGTCTGGCTGCTATCATTTAGGGTGTTTTTGAGGTTCACCCATGATGCAGCGTGTATCACTACTTCATTCTTTTTGTACGGCTGAATAATATTCCTTTGTGTGGCTACAGTATGTTTTCTTTACCCATTCAGCAGTTGATGGACACTGGGTGGGTTCCAGCCTTTGGCTGTCCTGAACGTGCCGTAAACATTCATGTGCAAGTTTCTGTTTGAACACCTGGTTTCAGTTCTTTCAGACAGACGCCCAGGAGTGGGATTGCCGGCTCCTATGGTAATCCTGCGTTTAGCTTTTTGGGGAACAAACCATTTTCCACAATGGCTGTACCATTCTGCATTCCCATTAGCAGTGCAGGAGGTTTATTTCTCTGCATCCTTGCCAACACTTGCTAGTTTCTAGTCCTTGCCACCCTAGTGGAGGTGAGATGGTATCTTTCTGTGCTTTTGAGTTGCATTTCATTGCGGCCAATGATAAACATCTTCCCCCGGGCTTGCTCACCAGCTGGAGTATCCCCTCGGGAAAATAGTCCGTTTAGGTCTTTTGCTCATTTTCAAAGTGGGTTGTCTTTTTGTTGGTGCGTTGAAACAGTTCTTTATATATTGTGGATACTAGGCCCTTCTCAGATAGCTGGTTTGCAAACATTTCCTCTCATTGTGGGTTTTTTTTTCTTACTTCGATATGGTTCTTTGATGTACAAAAGTTTTTAATTTTGGTGTAGCCCAATTTATCTATTTTTTTTCCTTTTATTGGGAGTGTTGTGAGTGTCATGGAGCCTGAGGTTTTCTTCACCTGGGTAAGACCAACGGCTAGGAAGAAAGAAGGATGTGCATCTTGGCTTGTATGTGCTTTACACAAGGTGACACTGGATTGTGCATTTCAAACTTTAGCCATTAAATATTAGTGGGAAACTTGGGTCAGGCTGGTCTTAAAAAAGAGTCCTACCTGACAAATGTTGTCATTAAAATTTAACATTTTCTGGCTTTTTCTTTGTAATACAGAAAAACCATACGTTTTTGGAATAGCACACACCGTTTCTTTGAGTTTGGTTGTAACACTTTTAGAGAGTCAATCACCTGGATCCAAACGCGGCAGCAGCCCTTCCGCGCTGAGCGAATGGAAGAGACAGCCCGCCTCCGGGACACCAGCATCACTCCCAAGTGCATCTGCCTGAGGTCACACAGCAGGTGAGGCTTCTCATTGCAGATCTAAGTCTCTGCCTCCCACACCACGTGCCCAAATTAAAACCAAGTCAATCACCTATTGCTATCTGTGATTGGTTCGTCTACTAACTACTACTGCTAATACCAGCTGTTCCCCTCTCTCTCCCTCACCCACCTTCCCATGTACCACTGAAGAATATGCCCACGGTCACACGGGCTGTGTCACAGCCAGGACTTGACCCAAGTCTGACCACAGAGCCTACATAATGAAGCAATAAGCGAAACCACGCGCATCTGCCCGTGAAGAATGACTTGAGCACGGAGCAGGTTACAAATACTGCTTCCTTGCAGGCTCAGGCCCCCCCACCCGCCGGGCTCTCTGGCCCGGCCCCTTAGGCCTCACCCCCCCCCCCCCCCCCGGGCCGGGGAGCGGCGCAAAGGCGGAGCCAGGGGCACGCTTGGGCGCACAGTGCGCCTGCGCCAGGTCGGTGCCGCGGTCCTCCGAGTAGGCCGACAATGGCGGCAGCAGAGGGCTCTTCGCTGGAGCCGGCGACTTCCGAACAACCCGCGGAGCTGCCTGCTTCGGTGCGGGCGAGCATCGAGCGGAAGCGGCAGCGGGCGCTTATGCTGCGCCAGGCCCGGCTGGCGGCCCGGCCCTACCCGGCGACGGCGGGCGCGGCTACCGGAGGTCTGGTCCCTTCCTTTCGCTCTCCCTGACCCCCTGCGACTGGCTCGCGCGGCCCAGACGCGGTGCCATCAGGCCGAGCCCGGCCGGCTGGCCTTGTCGCCGTGACCTGTGCAGACCCGGGCGATTCCGCGGTAGAGCCCCAGCCTCCTGACTCCCCGCCCGGGCGTCCTCGCGGTGCCGCGGCCGGCCAGCTCGCGGCTCCCGCCGGCGCCTCGGCTCTCCCACGTCTTCCCCCTCTGCTCCCCGGAGCGGGCCCTGTCTAAAGCTTTGAGGCCTGCGATCCTGCACCCGCCTCCGGGTGCGGCTCCTTCCCGGGGCCGAGGAGAGGCGCGCACCTGCGGCGGCCGCCGCCTTTGCCACGTGATCTAGCTTGTCACAGCCAACCCGGAAAGTGAGACGGGCAGGAAAGCAAAAGGCAGCCGTTTTACCGCTGGGGTACCCGAGACCAGGGAAGGGAAGGGGGTTGTCCAGGTTCAAGTGCGTTAGCTAATCAGGATCGCCACCCCGGGGCGGGGCGCCGAAGCCTCGCCCACCAGCGCCTCTCCTAGCCTGGACGTCTCTCCCGGCCTTGGGAAGTTACCCTGTGGAAGCTGGGTTTCCTCTGCCCCCTCTCTTGGGACGGCCTTTGGCTGCTTGTATCTGTCTGTCAATGCTGTATTTGTTGGCCTTGCTCTTGGGGGTGGTATCCACATTATATCCCCTGGCTTCTGGAGCCCGTCCCGCCTTCTCCATGTCTGATTCTACATCATATCCTGTTTTGTGGGTGCTGCTGCGGCCTGCCAGTGCGTGTGTGTGTGTGTGTGTGTGTTTGCCTGTAAGTGCCCGCCTGGCTAGCCCATACTTCCTTTATTTCCTGTTTAACACATTTGCAGAGTTTTGCATTGCCCTCCCTGGTGGAGCACTTTCACATCACCTGGGTGCTCCCACAGCCTTCCTCCTTTGCTCAGCGCCTCAGGCCTCCAGCGCCTGCCTCTGGGGCTGGGAGACTTAGTCGTGCATCTCGCTCCTTTGTCTGAGGCTCCCAGCACAAGCGTGATCCCAGTTAACCCCCAGCCCTTTCTGCAGTGGGTCAGTTTTCCAGGAAGCCTCAGCCCCCCAGCTCCCTCTGTCACCTTCTCTTCCTTCCCTCGCCGAGTGCGTGCTTTCTTTCACTCACCTTCCAGGAGGACGGAAATAGCGCTGAGAGTGGACATCTTTGTCTTTTTTGATCTGTTTAAGCAAAGTTTGTGTTTATGCACAAGGGACAGGATTGGCTTACCGAGTTCATGTGTTGGCCTCTCACTTTTTGTAGGCGTGGCTAATGTGAAAGCCCCCAAGATAATCGACACAGGAGGAGGCTTCATTCTGGAAGAGGAAGAGGAGGAGCATAAAGTAGGAAACATTGTGCATCAGCCAGGTGAGGCGTTTTTCAGGAAGTGAGTGCCCAGTTTGCTGATTTCGAGTCACATGCCTAACTCTTCGCAAGTCGATGTCAGATTGATTTGATCAGTGAGCAGATTAACAGTGATAAAGTTTGTCAGTGGATTAGAAAAAATCAAACATCCACATGTATGGAAGTGATTATTTCTCTTGTTTTTGTGCTTGAGGTTAATACTGTCTGCTTTACATTAGGGACGCACAGGCAAAATGCTGACTTATCAATACTCAAAATACTCCTGCTAGTCTGAAATGAGGGGCCAGAACCTAAGAGTTAAAATTCAGGACATTCTTTTATTGCTATTTGAAGGAAAAAAAGCAGCTTACAAAGTATAAATGAGGAGTGGCATAAAGAATGTTACTTCTTATGTAAAGTTAATGCTGGGTAAATCACTTATACCTAAACATATCCTCAGAGTCGGGGTACCTTCACATTCTGAAAAAGATTAAAAAATGTGACTTGAGTGTAAGTTCGACAGCCAATAGTATAATAGAATGGCTTAAAAAACCGATTCCAGGCTTTGTGTCTGGCAACAGAAATGTGCATTCACCGAGATAGGGAGTAGCCCTGGTTTTTTGTTTGTTTTATTTTTTTTTTTGACAGGCAGAGTTAGAGACAGAAAGGTCTTCCTTCCATTGGTTCACCCCCTGCAAATGACTGACCAAGCCGAAGTCAGAAGTCCAGAAGTCCACTTGGGTCTCCTCCAGGCATGGCAGGAGCTCAGACACAGCGGCTCAAACATGTGAGCCATCATTGGCTGCCTCCCAGAATGCGTTTGCAGAAAGTGGGACTGGAAGCTGAGCAGCTGGTGCTCAAACTGGTGCAGGTGCCCAAGCAGCAGCTTAACCTGCTGCCCCACAGCACCACCGCACCCACCTCAAGACGGTGTGTTCTTTTTTTTTTTTTTTTTTAAGATTTTATTTATTTGACAGGTAGAGTTATAGACAGTGAGAGAGACAGAGAGAAAGGTCTTCCTTTTCCCATTGGTTCACCCCCCAAATAGCCGCTACGGCCAGCGCTGCGCCGATCCAAAGCCAGGAGCCGGGTGCTTCTCCTGGTCTCCCATGGGGTGCAGGGCCCAAGCACTTGGGCCATCTTCCACTGCCTTCCGGGCCACAGCAGAGAGCTGGCCTGGAAGAGGGGCAACCGGGACTAGAACCTGGGGTGCTGGCGCCACAGGTGGAGGATTAGCCAAGTGAGCAACGGCGCCGGCCTGGAGTAGCCCTGTTCTGTGTGTAAACTATTTTCAGAAGTCGAGAGTAAAAGGTTTATAATATTTATATTTGAGTGTCCTATTCTACGAGGGATATAGACAGATGTATAGTACCCAGAAGAAGGGGACCAAAAGGAAGTTTGGAAACTGCTCTGCAAGGGTACTTCAAAAAACTCATGGAAAATGAAATGAAAGGATAAATTTGGTGCAAAAATTCTCTAGACTCATGCACGTGAGGGTTATCAGGAAGTTCATGAAAGTGCACAGTGTGGAAAAACTGCATGGATTTCTGTTTTTTTTTTTTTTTTTTTTTTTGCATCAAAATAAATTCTACTTTTCACAGTTTTTCAAGCATCCTCATCTGTGTCCCCTCAGGAGTTTATAACCCGGCACTTGAGATTGAGAGGAGGCTGTTTCCCCCGTTGATAGAGGCTGGAGTGGAGGGAGAGAAAAATGTTCTCATGGGGCCAGGTGTTTGCTATAGGGACTAAGATACTGCCTGGGACGCCTGCATCCCCTGTGGGAGTATCTGATTGAGTCCTGGCTACCCTGCTTCTAATCCAGCCTCCTGCTAATGTGCACCCTGGGAAGCAGCAGGTGATGGTTCAGGGAGCTGGGTCCTTGCCAGCCTTGTGGGACACCTGGATGGAGTTCCTGGCTCGTGACCTTGGCCTGGCCCAGCCCCAGCTATTGCAGGCATTTGGGGAGTGAATCAGTGGTCCCCTGCCCTGTGTGTGTGTCATGCTGCCTTTAAATAAATATTTTTTTCTATTAGGAAATGAATTCTGTAGTGTCTCTTCTACTGTTGCCTTGTTCATTAAAATTTTTTTAAAAATTTATTTTCATTTTATTTGAAAAGCAGAGAGGCAGCCAAAGAGATCTGTCTGCTCGCTGGTTTATTCCCAGAATGTCTGTGATAGCCAGGGCTGGACGAGGCCAAAGCCAGGGGCCTGGAACTCAATCCAGGTCTCCCTTGTGGGTGGCAGGGACCCAAGTACGTGAGCCGTTGTCTGCTGCCAACCCAAGGGTGAGCATTAGCAGGAGGCAGGATTGCAAGTGGAGGAGCCAGAACTTGAACCAGGTACTCTGGGTTTCCCAGGTGGCATTCTAACTTCTGTGCCAGATGCCTGCCCTTGCTAGCACTGCCCTTGACCGTGTTATACGTTGGCGCCCTGTCTCCCCAGTCTGTAGGCGGATCCCTTGCACCCCTTGTGTTTTAGCCACATTCACCAATTCACCATAGCAGGTGGAATAATGGTGCCCACGCCGTTGTTCCTGCCCTCGTCAGCCTGTGAATGTAGAAGCATTGCCTTCTCCTGCAGAAGGCACTGTGTGGGCGGGAGTAAAGTCAAAGGCCATGAGATTGTCTGTGTGGACCCCCTATCCCCATGGAGCCCTTGAAAGGACCGGCAGGGGATGCACGCTGCGGGAGTGAGCCGGTGCTGGGATGTGAGAAGCTGCTGTTGCCTGGAGTCCAGGGATGCCGCGGGGTAGGGGGGTGGGGTGGTCCCCTGCGGAAGCAGCCCCGCCCACATGCAGCTGGCAGGCCTGCGGAGCTGATCAGTTAGTGTCTGAAGCCATGGCCTGGGTGATTGCTTACTGCAGCGGTGCGACACCACCACCACAGCTGGGGCTCAGCAGTTGTTGAGGGCCTTGTTTTTCCCCTGCGTGGTTGGAGCACGAGGTTACATAGTTATTTATTTCGTCTTTGCCTTAAATGCGATAAAGATACACGATGGGAAACTGCTAGAGGAAACTGTATTGTTGCAGTGGGAACAGAAGGATGCTGATTCCGCTTCCTGTGCCCAGGGCCGGTCCTGGAGTTTGACTATGCCATATGTGAAGAGTGTGGGAAGGAGTTTATGGACTCGTACCTCATGAGCCACTTTGACTTGGCCACCTGTGATAACTGCAGGTCCGTATCTTACGTCAGCTTCTCTGCAGGAGTGGAATGCGTGCCCGTAAGCCTGGGGCAAAACGATCGCTTTTCTTGGGGGTGGGGGGGAGGGGTTGATGCTTTCGGAGTAATTGTGGTTTTTCTCCTGGGAGTGTCCCAGAGTCTCTGGATTCCATTTGCCCAATACACAGGCAGCCTGTGCGCGCTGCGGTAGCCCCGTCCCGTAGGAAGGCTGCCTCCGGGTCTGCGGGGCCTTTCCCGTCTCTCAGCGCGGGTTCCGAGCGTTACGTGTCCCAGCGTTACGTGCCGGCGCCTTTGATGCAGAGGCCCTTGGAACCCCCTTTCCCACTCACCTTTTGCACTCAGCAGATGAGGGCAGGCTCCGCTGTCGAGCTTTCTCGCCTGGCCTGCGTCCCTTTCACATCCCCGAAGAATCCCCCCCCCCCCCCCCCCCCCCCGCACAGGATTCGCCTGTCTCTGCTGTTCACTCCCCCAGAGCCTGCGTTGCTGTCTTTCTCCGTGAAGTCCCTGTCCTGGAGTCTCTCTGGGCCTTCCTAGTGGTTTCCATTGTCGTACCTACAGCGTGTTATTCGAAAGGCAAAGTGACAGAGGTGGCGAGAGGGGTGACAGACCTTCCATCCACTGATTGGCTCCCCAAATGGTCCCAGTGGCCAGGGCTGGGCCAGGCTGAGGCCAGGAGTCCAGCACTGCCTCTGGGTCTCCCACATGGGTAGCAGGGGTTCAAGCACTTGGGCCATCTTCTATGCTCTCTCAGTCACATTAGCAGGGAGTGGATTGGAGTGGGGCAGCTGGGGCTCGGAGCAGCTGCCTGGAGCAGCCCCCCCCCCCCGCCCCGAGGTTTGTCTTAACAAAGCCCCCTCCACCCCAGCGCCCTTTTGAGAGCTCTGGGTCAGTCCTAGGTCCACCCTCCCCTGCCGGGGGAGCGCCCCTCCGAGTCCCTCCTGCTGCACTGGGAGCCGTCGCCGGCTTGTTAGTGGAAGCCGTGGGAGAGAGAAGAGGAGCTGCTGTCCTTGCGCTCGTGACCATGCACGTGGCTGGGGATGCTCTGGCTCTCCAGTTGGTGTCATCAGCTCAAAGCCCATTTCCCATTGCCACGGTGTTGCAGGCTCACAGCACCGATGTCACTCCTCGAAGACCACAGTGGGGTGGGCGTGGGCATTTGGCGCGGTGGTTAAAGTGCTGCCTGGAACACCCATACCCCACATCCGAGTCCTGGCTCGGGTCCTGGCCCTCCGCTTCGGATTCATTTCTTGCTAATCTGCTCCCTGGGAGGTGGTAGTTGGTGCCTCAAGTCCTTGGGCCCCTGCCACCCACAGGGGGTGACCTGGACTGACTGCGGGGCTCCTGGCTTCCCCTGGCCCAGCCCTGGCAGTTGGGGGCATTTGGGGAGTGAACCAACAGGTGGACTGTTTTGTCTCTCTGCCTTTCATGTGAAAAGAAAAATAATCCTAAGAGACCACTGAGTGATGCGCCACATAAATTCCCATAAATAAAACAACTGTTGTGTCAATTTAAAGAGGGTTGCGGAGTAGTCTGGAAAAAGACACTTCTGTATTAAAAGTAATTAGGAATGAAGCTGTCCATTCTGTTTCCATTAGGATCTTTGAAGATTGTAGTTGAAGCGAGGTAGTCTGTGTGCCCTCTCCCTTAGCTTATGCATCCAATTTCAAGTCCTGGGGTTTTGTGATAGAACCTTCTAGACCTTTGGGTTCTCCCTTCTGCGACACGTGCTTGCTTTTCAGTGTTTACCATTACAGTAAAGACCAACTTCATTCACTGGCTGTGTCTCTGCTGTCCCTGTTTAATTCCAAACCCACTGGGCTCCATGTTCAAACCATTCCTTAATCCGTCGCCTTCTTGTCCCGTCTTACCACTGCTTTAGTGTAGGCCAGCGTCGTGCCGCCAGGCCATTGCAGGAGTGTTCTGACTGGACTCCGCCCACCGCCTGCCCCGCCCTTGCATCCCTGGTGTCCTCTCCCTGGGCTGTTTTGCCCTAGCCTTTAAGAAAATGGTTTCTAATCTCCTTTAGCGTGGAAGTGGCTTCCCCATGACTCACAGGGCTCTGGCATGACGTTGTGTCCCCCACGCCTGGAAGTGCTCTGGTTTGCACTCTGAGCTCCAGGTGCAAAGCAGGCCCCCACCCTAGAGCCCCTGCAGGTGCTTCCCTCTGCTAGGAGTGTTCTCTGGGGTCTCATTGGTGGCCTTTTCTGTCTACGTGGCCTGTGTGCAAATCCCTGTGCCTTCCCTAACCTCTGTGTTCTTACAGCACTTTCGCCTGCTGTTCTGATACTCATTATAGCCTGCCTTCTGACCAGAGTGTAGCATTGTTCATACAGGCGGTCTTTACTCTGTGCTGTGTGCTTGGTGCCTGGCAGGCGGGTGGATAACCAGGGAGTGGGACCAGTGTCTCCACTGTTGGCTTGGTTTGGAGGAGGTATGTGCCAGTTGGAAGCTTGGCAGTGGGACCTTGCCTGTGTGTTTCTGGTTTCTTGCCCAGCTTGACTTTGTGCTTTAAGTAATTTTAAGATTTATTAATTTACTTGAAAGGCAATTACAGCCGGCGCCGTGGCTCACTAGGCTAATCCTCCGCATTGCGGCACTGTCACACCGGGTTCTAGTCCCGGTCGGGGCGCTGGATTCTGTCCCGGTTGCCCCTCTTCCAGGCCAGCTCTCTGCTGTGGCCAGGGAGTGCAGTGGAGGATGGCCCAAGTGCTTGGGCCCTGCACCCCATGGGAGACCAGGAGAAGCACCTGGCTCCTGCCTTCGGATCAGCGCAGTGCGCCGGCCATGGCGGCCACTGGAGGGTGATCCAACAGCAAAGGAAGACCTTTCTCTCTGTCTCTCTCTCTCACTGTCCACTCTGCCTGTCAAAAAAAAAAAAAAAAAAAGCAATTACAGAGAGGCAGAGGCAGAGAGAGGTCCTCCACCCACTGGTTCACTCCCCAATTGGCCACAATGGCCAGAGCTGGGCCTGTCCAAAGTCAGGAGCTTCCTCTGTGTCTCCCATGAGGGTGCAGGGGCCCAAGGACTCGGGCCATCTTCCACTGCCCTTCCAGGCCATAGCAGAGAGCTGGATCGGAAGCGGAGCAGCTGGGACTCGAACCGGCGCCCACATGGAATGCTGGTACCTATCACAGGTGGTGGCTTAGCCTACTAAGCCACAGTGCCAGCCCTTTAAGTTGTGAATGGTCGGAGTGTGACTGTTTCTCTTGGATTCCTTGGGCTGCTCGGGTGACTGAGAGTTGGAGGAAGCCGTGTGTGTCCCTTTGGGCGTGCAGGTACTGGACTGTTTGAAAACTCAGTTTATTAAAAATCACGCATTTATATAATGGCCTTAATCTGTTTTCAGAGATGCTGATGATAAACACAAGCTTATAACCAAAACAGAGGCAAAACAAGAATACCTTCTGAAAGACTGCGATTTGGAAAAAAGAGAACCAGCTCTTAAATTTATCGTGAAGAAGAATCCTCATCATTCGCAGTGGGGTGATATGAAACTCTACTTAAAACTACAGGTCCCCGAGACGTTGTTTCTTAACTTTACTTCTGGGTCAGGTGGTGGCTTAGCCATGACCTGGTTCTAACTGGTTTCTGCTCAGACAGTAAAAGAGATTCTTTTTGTTTTGCATATGGGTCAGTCACAAATTCAGGGATGTTTTCTAATTTTGCTTTTTGGCGAGACACTTTGGGGCAGATGTGTTACTGTTAGGTGATACTGTGAGTGGTACAACTTGGAAAGAGTTTGGAATTGGAGTCAGACCTTGTTCCCCTCATCCCCCCACCCTAGAAAGAAGAAATCTTAAAAAAAAAAAAAAAATCCCAGGAATTTCACGAATGCCGGGATTCCACTCTACCCAGCTGGAATGCTGCTTGGTGTCTGCGTTTAGCGCAAGAGGACTTGAGAAAGTCAGTGGAGAAATGGAGTTCACAGGGAAGGCTATTTTGGCGCACAGATGTTTGCCACGTGCATTCATTTTTCATACTGGACATTCTTCACGAATGTTCTGAAGACCCTCCACTCCACTCTCAGGGCAGGGGGGCAGGTCTGCCTCCCTCCTTTCGCAGCAGAGCGGCTCTAGGTGCTGGGACAGCTCCTCTCCGGGCTGCTCCAGCCTGGGCAGGTGCCCGGGAACACAAGCAGCCTCCTGGCCTGTCACATGTGGCACACATCACAGCGTTATTTTTGTCCCATTAAGTTATTGGAAGGCACTACTTTGGAACAGTTTGAATTGGAATATCCTCTATCTTTAAATAAGATTACAAAGGCATGTTGTGAAGCAAAATAATACACTAAATTTCATTAACTATCAATCAGACTAACCATTATTTTTTTAAAAAATTACTAATTAAACTGACCCAGGCTTTCTGATCCTTGGTGGTTTTGTTTCACACTTACTGAGCCAGTGTCATCGGGATTTGTAAGGTAAAGGGCATCGTGGTTTTTGTCGTAAGTCGCAGACTTGTGCCTACATAAAAAGGGAGCGGCAGGTGCAGACGTCTCCCTTAGGATTCCTAAACTCCTGAGGTTCAGAGTCCAGCTCTTCAGAGCCACTTCCGACTCAGAGTTGTGAGAGTCCCACACAGTAAGTACGCTGATGTGGCGTTTTCAGGGACACTAAGTGTGGACAGCATGATGTCCTCTACCTTGTGAAGTATATCGCTTTATTAAGAAGAGCTGAGACTGGCTACACTGATTGGTGCTGTGGTCCCCTTAACATATTGTGAGGACCATCTTGGTATGTAAATTATTCCCGTAAAATGTAACAAGTATTCTAAAGAGACAAGGGATGTAATCCAGAGGTTTATAACTAGGATGAACTTTTAGGTGTTCTGTTGATGCAAAGTAAGTGGACAGAAACAGCTGCCGACCCAGGAGAGGGGCAGTAACTTGTATTTCCTGTGGCTGGACGTTTTTGGAGGGCCGACCTGGCTCATTGTCAACACACACTTCCTTTGCTGAGCCTGCCACAATGCAGCGAGCCCACCGACCACGTCTGCCGACTCCTGGTGGCCATGCAGTCGGGGTGTGGCGCTGCTGGCTGTCCTCCAACGCCACCTGCACTCACAGCGGCGGTCACAGATTCAGATCGCCCTGCCACCATTCTTCAGGAGCTCGGGTTTGCCAGTTGGAATGCTCTGCAGGCCTGCCGGGCAGCTGGCTCACGTGTGGATTCCGTGTTGCAGGTCGTGAAGAGGTCCCTTGAAGTCTGGGGCAGTCAGGATGCACTGGAAGCAGCCAAGGAAGTTCGACAGGAAAACCGGGAGAAAATGAAACAGAAGAAGTTTGATAAAAAAGTCAGAGGTGAGTGGCTCCATTTTATGTCACCAAGGATTGTTTTTGCTACTCTGTTAAAACAAAAACCTTTGTTGCTTCTTCCTGTTTAAAGATACAGTGTCGCCAGGAGATGGGAAGGCGGTTTCTCACCGGTGAAATGACTTAAAGTTGTCCCTCAGTAGGCTGACACTTGAGACCCGGTCCACACCCCGAGTGCTGCATTTCTTGCTTTTCTTTTCATCTTGAAAGGCAGAATTAGGGGGAGACGGAGATATTCCATCCATTGGTTTGCTCCCCACATGGCTGCAACAGCGGGGGCCTGGCTAGGCTGAAGCCAGGAGCTGGGAGCTTTTATCCAGGTCTCCCACATGGGTTCACGACTCAAGCACTTCAGCCATCTCTGCTGCTTTCCCAGGCACATTAGCAGGGAGCTGGATCAGAAGTGGAGCAGCCAAGGACTCGAACCCGTGCCCATATGGGATGCCAGCACTGCAGGTGGAGGCTTTACCTGCTACGCCACGTTGCCAGCCACATTGCTACATTTTTCAAAAGTCGTAAGCCATCATCAATTTTTTTTTTTATTTGACAGGTAGAGTTACAGACAGTGAGACAGACAGAAAGGTCTTCCTTCTGTTGGTTCACTCCCCAAATGGCCACTATGGCCTGTGCTGCGCCGATCCGAAGCCAGGAGCCGGGTGCTTCCTCCTGGTTTCCCACGCGGGTGCAGGGGCCCAAGCACTTGGGCCATCCTCCACTGCCCTCTGAGGCCACAGCAGAGAACTGGACTGGAAGAGCAGCAACCAGGGCTAGAACCCGGCGCCCATATGGGATGCCAGCGCCGCAGGCGGAGGATTAACCGAGTGAGCCACAGTGCCGGCCGTAAGCCATCATCTTAAAGTGAACCATGTTTTTCAACAGGAACAGTGTTAAGGTGGAGGATGGTATACCTGGGCAAGGACTTGGCATCAATTAAATCTTAAGTCTGGTCAGCAGTGTTGGAGAAAACAGATTCTTCCGTCCTTGGGAAAACAGGAGAGACGTGGCCTACGTCTTAGTTGTCTCATCTGGCAGCTTCAGAAGGAGCTTGGGATGTCAGTGAGTCTAATCACAGCTTTTTAAATGTTCCAGCCAGTTCTCACTTCTCTTAATTTTTTTTTTTTTTTCATTTTACTTAAAGAGCAGTGAGACAGAGACCTTCTGTCTACTGGTTCACTTCCCAGATGCCCACAGTACCCAAGGCTGGGCCAGGCTAGGCCCCAGCCAGGAGCTGGGAACTCCATCTGGGTCCCCCATGTGGGTGGCAGGGATCGAGGACTTGAGCCATCAGCACTGCCTCCCTGGGTACTCATCAGCAGGAAGCTGGAATCAGAAGCGTGGGTGGCACCTGAAGCCAGGAACCATGATCTGGGCTGCGGACTCCAAGTGAGATCTTAACTGTTGTGCCAACCCCTGCCCCCACTTTTTCTTTATGCATGACTAAAAGACCTGGAGCGTGGCGAGAGTGACTTGGCAGAGGAGGTGATCGGCAGAACTGGAGCCAGGCTTTCTTACTGAAAGTCGTCCTCTGTAGTCCTTCCTCTACCTGTGCACCTGTCTCTGCAGGCAGCCATCCATCTCCTGGCCCCTCTGCCCCTCTGCCTCTGCTCATTTATCCAGGCATCCGATAATGCGTGTATGTGTCTGTGAGCCTCTGTCCATCCCTCAGTCCATCCAGTATTTACAAAGTGCCAGGCAGTGCTGACAGAAAGGCTGAATCCCAGCTTGTCAGGGGAGCCCTGGTGCTGATGAGCAGCGTGCTGCTGCAGGAGCACAGGGCCCTTCCGCTCCCGACCCAGGAAACGGATTTCTTGGTGCTGTAATTAGGTAGCGTCCCAGCACAGCCTAAGAGGTGGGGAGTTAGTACGTATTTCCTGCACATACTGGGCTATATCTATATACTAAATTGATCCACTTCAACGTGTCCTAGCCGTGACATGCCCTGCTTGTTTGCAGGACCCTAGAAGAGGCTTTGGAGGGTAAGCTGGGTAACTCGGATGTCTGAAAAGCCTCTCTGTGAGCAGTGTTTCCCCCTTTTCACCACCAGAGGAATCAAGTACAGTGCAGAAAAGTCAGAAAACTACCAAGAACTCCCATCCCAAGATCCTACTCTCAGAGACAATGTCACATTTAACGTCTGTTCTAGGTACAGACCCTTTAACTTTAATAAAAATGGAAGCACTATAGACGCTGATGAAGTTTACGTACATCTCTGTAGAAGTGTGGTTACATACCAATTCCTGACTCGGCAAGTAAGCAGTTTACGGCGGTGGAGCCAAGTCTCCTGTGGGGAAGTGTGCCGTGTAAGAGCACTTCTTTAGAGAACTGTCCCCAAATTTGTCAGTGTTGTGCCACAATCTTCAAAGATCCCAGTAAGGACCAATTGAGAGGGTTCAGAAAGACCTGTTTAAACTCTGGCTCCTCTCTTTAATCTTTTCAGTGCTCCGCACTAGTCCTTCCTCTCAGCTGCAAGGAGAGCCTGAAGGATAAAGCAATGCCCAGGCTCCTTAGGGGTGTGGGGGAGGAGGGCATGGCCACAGCCGCTACTGAGGGTCTGTGAACCCAGCCACCCGGAGTCGCCTCGCCTCTTCCCTCCCTGCTGCCTCCTTAAACCACTTTGGTATAGACAACAATGTATGAAGAAAGAGTAAGTATGACCTAGAGGCATGGGCCTGCACAGTGATGGAATATTTAAAGATGAGGGCTAGCTGCCATTTTTTCTTAGCCATTAACTCTATAGCTGGTCAAGATGTCATGTAACTCTAACTAAATTGTTTGACCGAATCAGTGATATTTGTTTCATGTTTTTCCTATCATGATAAACGTATATATTTAAACATATATTAACATGAACAGAACTTTTTCAAGAGTTGCACAGTTTTAATTGAAAGAAGTAGAAAGTTAGATAATTTGCTTTGGAAAAATCACTATAGTAAGTTGCTGCTGCTAATCAGCAGGAAAACCAAGGCCTGTGCGTGATCCCGCACATGGTGTTATTTCCCAGGTGTCTACAAGAATGTTGTGTGTGTGCGTGAAGACCTAGGTCTGAGTCCTGTGACCCGCCGCGGTCCCGGTGTCTGGTGTGCAGGGGTCTTCTGAGATTGCTGGGTATGCTTGTGGTGGGGAGGAGCCACAGCGGAGATGAGGAACAAGGGGCCTGTGTGACGTTTACTCGGAGGCTCAGCACAGAGGAAGAGCAGCGAGTTTAAAGGTTCGTAGTGGGAAAGCTGCTGGGCCCTCGTTGCTCTTGGCCTTCGGATCTGATGCACAGAGCAGCTGACATAAAGCTTTCAGAACGTGATCTGCTCAGTAGCTTCGGAATGGATCTTAGTGTGCACCACCGCTGGTGTCAGGGGCACGAGGGGTCTGTGATCAGCTCGGCTTTGTGAGACTTCTCAGAGCCAAGCAGAAATGATGGTGTTGATGTGCTCAGTTTGGCTGGCCTGGATACTGGATGCGGATTTTCAGGTGGTCCAACAGTGTGTCTTGGGTTTACAGGCCTTCTTTCACAGTGAAAGTGGAGACAAGGCTTTTGCTTAGTTACACGTTTTCCTCAGTATGCCGCTGCTTGCCAAACAGCCTGATGGTCTGGGCCTGGGGCTTGTGGTGATGACAGTTTAGGGCTGCTCAGAGCTTGTGGGACACAGTCGTGTTGCTCTGCTTTAGTTTATGGAGAACACATGCAGCTATAGCTTCACATGTTCCCTTGTCGTTTGTAATTTCTTTCTTCCAGTTACCAAGGTTCTCTCCGGTCAAGTACTCAGAAGTGTCTGGTCTCCCTCTGCTACTTGTACCAAGTTTACCGCATAAGCAGCATGGGTTTCTTTGCACACAGGCTGCCTCTTTGACAAAACTAAATGATAAGCTACAGTGAGTCACAAACATAAGGAATCATTGAAGGCACCAGTACAAGGCTGGTGACCGTGAACACATTCACAAATGTCCAGGACAGTTTGTCCTTAGCAGCCGTGTGGGTCTGAAACTCAAGGCCAAGGGGATATGGAGGGGTCACATGGAAAGCCTCTCTGTTGCCCTCCAGCCTCAGCTGGACTTTTGGTCGCTTAGGCTGTGTGCTCCTGCCTGGGGTTCCCGCATCTCCTCCAGGTGCGCCCATGGTGCTGCCGCTGCCCTCAGGTCACTCTGCAGCAGACTTCTCTAAGTTGTCTTTAAATGAAGTAATGGGACATCCCTAGGAACCGCTAAGAGGTTTTTCCATATACCACCTGTTGGCATTTGGCCACATTCATTTTCATCTTACACCATTTTGCTGAACCACACACAAGTTACTTGCACACGATGTGACTTCCATACTTTTATTGTTTTTTCTCCTAAAAATAATGGCAATTCTCCATAACTAAAAAATGTTCAAACTCAAGAAACTTAGCAATAAGTGCTAATCAAGCATAAATCTGTACAGTGCCATTTGTAGCTTACTAGGTGTTGGTTCCAGGGCCCACTGGAGGAGGATACATACTGACGACAGCCTTGTGTGCTCCCCCAGTGCCTGCAGCAGCCCCAGACAGGGACCAGGAACTCCATCTGGTCTCCGCAGCTGAATTCTTACCGCTGCCTCCCAGGTGGTGCGTTAACTGCACCACTGGGGCTGGAAGCCCGGCACCCATCCCGGCTGTGGCGTCCCAAGTGGCACCTTCCTGCTTCACCAAACCCCACCCTGACCTGACAGCCTCTCAGTCTAGTCCCTGAGCCTTTCTCCCACAGGACTGATGTTTCTGAAATCTCCTATAGCCGGCGCCGTGGTTCACTAGGCTAATCCTCCACTTTGCGGCGCCAGCACACGGGGTTCTAGTCCCGGTCTGGGCGCCGGATTCTGTCCCGGTTGCCCCTCTTCCAGGCCAGCTCTCTGCTGTGGCCTGGGAGTGCAGTGGAGGATGGCCCAAGTGCTTGGGCCCTGCACCCCATGGGAGACCAGGAGAAGTACCTGGCTCCTGCCATCTGATCAGCGTGGTGCACCGGCTGCAGCGCGCCGGCGGCGGCCATTGGAGGGTGAACCAACGGCAAAGGAAGACCTTTCTCTCTGTCTCTCTCTCTCACTGTCCACTCTGTCAAAAAAAAAAAATAAATAAAAATAAAAATCTCCTGGCTGGCTGTTGTATAGTATCTCTCCACTTAAGATTTGCCAGCAGCTTGGATCCTTTTGATTAGATTCAGAATGTTGACTACTTTTGGTGTGCTGGGTGATCCTGTCAAAACACATTTGGAAAGACATGGTACCAGTTCTTTTTATTGACCCACAGTTGTAGGATGTTTTCACTTCATCAGCATAATTAGCATTTCCAACTCCTTCTCTCTCCAAGTGCTGTAAACCTTAATCACCCGTGTGCTTCAGAACACAACTCATTACTGCCGCTCAGCTCTGCCCAATTTCTGCCTTACAAAAGTACCCTTCCCTTTGCAGGAAATAGCTATGACCGGGGGGAGCCTCCTTCCTCCCTCTACTCGGTGGTTTTAGTGTATGATGAGTCTTCCTTAGTGTGTGCTGCGGTGGATACATAAATGGTGATGTTTCTATAATTAATTATTAATAATTGTTAATTATATTATAACATACATATTACATTATGTGTAATATAATTATTCTGTAATTAGTATTTGGCTTCTTTTGGAAAGAGCCTTTCTTTTCCTCCTGTTTGAGAGACAAAATCTTTGAGTTCACCTCATGGAGTCTTAGTCTCAGGTGAATGTATGAGAGTTCATTATTCGTTTTGATGCTTAAATTCCCCAGGTTTGGCTAGTGGAATCCCCCTCAAGCTAGCTGTTTTTGTTCAAGTTCTTCACAGTATAAAGAACCAACCCTGGACCCTCACCCAGAGTGACCTGCCAGCACGCTGTGCTGTTTGCATTGTCACTGGTGTGCTCTTTAAACACATTTCTTCTGAACTGTTTGAAAGTGGGTTTCCAGCACAGCCCTTTAACCCTAAATACAGTGTAGATTTCCTAATATTCTTTTAACATAGCCAAAGCCTTATTAATGTTAGTAGACGTAGCACTTAGCATTTATCCACATTCTAGCCTTGTGAGTCAGTCCAGTCATGTCCTTTCCAGTGTTTCTCTTGTGGAAAAGGACACAGTGCAGACTCAGCTACTGGCTTTAAGCGCCTTCATTCTGCATTGCCCTAGCCCTCGTATGACACTGTTCCTGAGTCCCCTCCCCGCCCTGTCGTCTTAGAAACAGTGTTTCTCACTTGGAGTCTGTGTCTCAGTCCGGGGACTGTATGTGGTGTGCCTTTCTCAGGGACTCGCACAGTGTCCATCTGCCCTCAACAGTGGTGGTAATTTTAATTTGATAAGAAATTGTTAGGACTCATAAATAACCCAGTTCCCCTTATTCCCTCCTAGACTGAGCATTTGTCAGTTGATAATTCTTCCCAGATGAGTGTTTAGTATCATGGTTGCCAAGAACTGTTTTTGTGCTGATTATTTCATTTGGTTCAGTGGGAATCTTAGATCTTTCAACAAGCTACCACTGGCTCACTGCTTTCTAGTGTAAAACACGAGTACAATTCTGTCTCTGCTTCCATGTACACACATACACCTTAAAAACCCCAATTCATACTATTCTTCCAGCTCTAAAATTTTAAGGTTCATCCCAATTTTCCCCCTTCAAGTGTCTGACAGTGTGAAAGGTGGCTGCCATTCCGTCCTCTGGTGACCTGAAGCCCCTGTGTGTAGCTGACCTCTGGAGGGAGCCCTCCGTCCCCTTGTTGGGCTTTCTCCACCCTGTTAGGGAGGCCTGCTTTGTCCATTTGCTGGCTTCAGCATGAGGCTGTTCAGAAAGGGAAGGACAGGTAAGATGACAAGCCTACCATTTATTAGATCAAGCATCCCAAGTCTGAAAATTCGAAATTTTGCACCAGTGTGGGATGCCAGATGAAAAATTCTTGTGCCTCGCCGGCGCCGCGGCTCACTAGGCTAATCCTCCGCCTTGCGGCGCCGGCACACCGGGTTCTAGTCCCGGTTGGGGTGCCGGATTCTGTCCCGGTTGCCCCTCTGCTGTGGCCAGGGAGTGCAGTGGAGGATGGCCCAGGTGCTTGGGCCCTGCACCCCATGGGAGACCAGGAAAAGCACCTGGCTCCTGCCTTCGGATCAGCGCGGTGTGCCGGCTGCAGCGCGCCAGCCGTGGCGGCCATTGGAGGGTGAACCAACGGCAAAAGGAAGACCTTTCTGTCTCTGTCCACTCTGCCTGTCAAAAAAATTCTTGTGCCTGACCTCATGGACAGATGGCTTGCAGCCACAATGCAGGTATACAAAGAATATAGTACAAAGTATACATGAAATGTAAGTGAATCTTGTGTTTAGACTTGGAGCCCAGCCAAGATACTTCGTTATGTACATGCACACATTCCTGGTCCCAAGGATTTCAGATCTTTCTTCCTCTGTGGCAGAAGTTTTTCCAGTAAAGTCTAGTAAGTACAGAAGATGTGCTTTTTTTAAAAATACTGTATCTGGACAGACTAGCTGTAAGAAAGCAGTGTAAAACCTTAAGTTGAATTATTGCTAAGAAATAGGGTTTCTGGTTTAGTATTAACTTTTCCTTCTTACTTCTCTAAGTACATGTAATATTCAGAATAGGCAGAGAAGTTAGCTTGGCATGCGTAAGTAGCAGTCAGATAGATCTTCAGGACTTTTCCCAGTGGGGAAATAAAGGGAAGTGGTCAGCATACCTTTTTTCAGAACCAAGAAAAGCTCTTCTCCTGTTATCTGAAACCAGAAGGAAATGAGCGTCTCACTTATTTGTAAAACAGCCTAAAGCGCAATAAAAGGGCATTCTAGATAGACCTAGAGAAGTCAGGGGCCTTCAGAACTTGAGCGGGGACTGAGTAATGGGATTTCCCCTTCGGATGGTGGGGAGGTCTCTAGGAGGGTGTGCACGCACTGCAGGAGGAGGATGCTCAGGGAAGGCGCTTTCCACGGCGGCTGCATGGGGAGGCAGCACACCTGCGGTTAGCAGTGTGGGCCCCAGCTGGAGTGGACTTTTGCTGTCAACTAGCTCTAGCTGTTTGAACTTGGGGACAGTTCTCTGCTTCTCTGCTTTTGTTTTTTCATATGTAAAACTGGGATGATAGTCGTACTTGCCTTGAAGGGTTGTGATGGTTAAATGCATTTAAAGTGTGTGGAACAGTGCCTGATACACAGTCCTATGTTTGCTTTTATTTTTACAATAAATACTGAAATTAGGAAGATTCAAGTAGTACTACTTCACAGATCTAGAATGGATTAAGAAAACGTGATTCTTGGTGTATGGTTTTATGGGTGACATGATCAAAGGCAGCTGTTACACTCTTAGCCAGAGACAGGACTAGCTGGGTGCATCATTGGGGAACACAGAAATGTAAGTGGTGTTGCTTTTTTATTCATTAAACTAGAGACTGAGACGGTACCAGCCTGTCACCTCCTGTCAGTGCTGTGCATTTGGCTTCTTCAGGTAATGTGCAGTGTGAACCTGTAAGAGGGGGCTGCCTTGGTCGCTTTTCACAGCATTCTTTTCTCTGTAAAGTGACTTGAACAGGATGTAGTGGAAAGAGCTCCAGACACTGGAATAAGATGATCTGGGTTCACATTGCTAGCTTTGTTCAGTTTCCCTACCTGCAAAACAAAATGAAGTAAAATACTAACGCTGTGGTTATTTTCAGCTCTAATAGTCACTGATCCTTATCTTTAGGTGTCCTTTGCCACAGTTGTTCTTTTCTACAATAGTGCTGCCATCCCACAGAATCAAGGTCATAACAGACTTAGGAAAGTGCTAATGCAACAGGCCTTAAGCTGGAAACAGATCAGCATGGAGGGGCAGAGCTCTCGGCTCTCTAGTTTCCTTGCAAGCAAAGCTCAGCCTGCCTCCTGAAGTAGCTCGAGTTGTAAATGTAGAACTTAAAGAACTCCATTTTCTTAGTTATCCCCATGGATTCACTCTTCATGTTGCTTCAAGTGACACATGTACCTGGACACATCTGTTCTGTGACTCACTTCTCAACCTGATCTACTTCTGTTCGTCTCTGCCCCCCACACCCATTTCTGAATCTCTCAATTCGTACCACTTCAAGGTTGATCTGCTTTCCGCCACAATTCTATCAACTACTTGATAGAAGTAAACCATCTATGATTTAAACACTCATCTATACACATATATGGCTGAAGGAATGATGGATTCACTTTGGACTCAGCTGAATAATATCACAAACTTTATTTTTTTCCATCCTAGAATTGCGGCGAGCAGTGAGAAGCAGTGTGTGGAAAAGGGAAACAACTGCTCACCAACACGAGTATGGACCTGAGGAAAACATAGACGACGACATGTACCGGAAGTGCTGTACCGTGTGTGGCCATGAACTGACATACGAAAAAATGTGATTTTTAGGTTAGTGACTTTTTGTATTGAAATAAAGGAAGTTCAGATTGTTCCTGTACAGAATTTACCAAACATAAGGCCTTTATGAAGGAAACACCATATAAATTATGCCAGAGTAGAAAGTGTAGGCGTTTTAGGCAGGGTCCAACTGGACTGACTGAAGACAATACCAGGGCTGGGATTAATTTTTCTAGTAATAAGGATGGTAGCTCAGTAGTGTGGTAGGTCAGAGAAGCAAATAGGACGAATGAGACTGAGGCAAACACAGACTGATGTAGTAAAAAGGCCACAGCTCCCCACACCGTGTTCTCAACCCAGGAACCAAACAGGGATGGTGCTAGTCCACTGTGCCCAGAGTCTGGATCAGCGTATACGACTAGTTCTATGTGCAAGATATAGGAGCAGTGGGGAGCCACTGCTGGAAAAAGTTCTGACAAAGAGGAATGCACAGTGAGTTGTAGGTGTCAGCTTTGACCCTAGTGTCTGGGGAGCCCTTTTCAAGTGCCAGTTTAAAATGGGCACATGGATCAAAGTCTGCAGGTACTGCTAACATGTACTCTGTACTCTGCTAATGCCAGGCAAGCACTCTGCTTAGGCTTTCAACAGTACTTCTAGGGGAACAGAATGAGAACCTCCAGTCTCATGTCACCCCAGGCATTGGAATCAGGCTTTCAGGTGGATGCACCTCCCCATACAGCCCTGAGTCCTGGGTGTGGACCTGGGGCACATTACTCCAGGGTCCTGTTTGTCTGTCTAAACATGGTCGACTACAGCAGCCCAGTGTTCACCTTCATCAATCGAAGACAATCCTGTCAGCCACATCTACTGTATCTGGGTTCGCAAGGTCGTTCCTCATCTTTCTATATTCACATGACAAAAGCCTGTTCTTACAGTACTGAATGTACCATATGATGTGCAGCGAGATGCTTGCTCGGGTACCTTTATTTCGTCCAAGTTCAATCCCTCTGTTTTAGATGCAGAGGGTCACATCACTGCCCAGCCGTTAGAAGCAACCGTTATGCATGAGGAGGAGATAAGAAAAAACGGAAGCCCCACACTATGTAGAATGTAGATTAGGCCGAATTAGCCAAACTCTGCAATGCATTAGGAAAGGGTAACAAAGTCAAATAGTTACCGGAGCTGCCAGTGGATATTCTCTGGCTGAACCACCTCAGACTGATTTCATCTGGTGCTGAAGCAATGGGAAAGAGAAACAACATAAACAGGAAAATGTGGTCAAGAACCTGGGTTCTAGCCCTCTCTGCTAGTAACCTGCCATGCAGCTCCAGTCTTCTGAATCATTATTTCCTATTGTCTATTAAAATATACAGTAATCGCAAAAGACTATGATGGCTTTATCAGAGCTTGGAAAAAAATCCTTAAAGTTAAAAAAGAAAAAAAAAAAAAACAGTATCACTAACTGACAATTCTTTAAACAGTCATTTAAGTCTCAGCACCAAATAGACTCAGCATTTGGAACAGGCTCTCCCAAATCAAAACGCACATCTAATTTCAAATAGAGTTCTAGGGAGTTTGGCCACTCAGTTCTACTTCATAATGAAACTCACATGACTTTAGACACTTCCTCTGAGAGGCTCCATGCAGCAAAAAGATGCTCTACGACCATGAGTCCCAACCCAGAATCGCCTACTGAGGACATCTCTTCCTTGACAGCGTCGAAGATTCCCACGTGATTGATGTTCAAATTTTGGAACAGCTGCTCTGTTAAACAGCACTTTATATACTAAAAAGATCACCACCAACTTTAAAGAATTCTAGATGAGAAAAATCATGAAAAACCAAGGTTTAAAAAACATATTTTTAGCTTTATTTCAGCCAGGTTAGGTTATCCATGAGCTGTGAAAAGCTATACTACCTTGTGATAAACCCATCAGTTCTCTAGGCTACAATGTAAGCTTGACCTCTAGTATTTCACATACCTCACATCTGTTTGGTGCCTTAAGGAGGGAAAAATACCAAATTGATCACATATAACACATCATAGTCATCGCCACAGTATTGTCATTAGGAAATAATTGCTTTTTATATTCCTTACTCTCTCCCCTTTTGTTTCCCTTAAGAGGTGAAAGGATACTACAAGAAAGAAGCATTCAAACCAGCAAAAACAAATTATTTTAAGATACTTAAAAAATCCTGATGGGAGAAAAGGACCACTAGGCCTGCAGAGCACAGAACTGCTGGAACACAGCAAGGATATGAGGGTCTAGTTCAGCAGTGAAGAGAAGGTTCTCCAGGGTCACCATGTACTGCTGGATTATCTGGTGATGCTGCAAACACAGAAAAAGGGGACTTTAGGGCAGGACAAAGCACAGACGCAATCGTGCAGAACATTTTCCCAGCAGTCTACACACACTGCAGCGAGGAGAGAATACTGAGCTACCGAGAAGCCCCGACATTAAGAAAATACAGCGAGAAATCAGACCCATGAATGTTCAACAACTTAATCCAGTTCTTTATCAACTTCTAGGTAAAGTGCAGCAAGCAGGTGCTACTGCCTACTACTGTTGTGACAGATTAAGTAGGACCCTACAGACATAACTTTTAAAAATCAGGCAGACAGCAAAAGACCTAGGAAGATAAAGTATCAGAAGATGAAAGGTTTTCTTTTATGTGCTCCTATATATACCTGAATACACCCGGAGATTGCTGTAGAAATACGAGCTGTGACAGGTTTTTTAAAAAAATGGACAATAACTGTAGGGGGGTGGGTGTTTGGCAGAGTAGTAAAGATACTGCTTGGGACACCCATGTCCTGTATCTGAGTGCTGAAGTTCATGTCTCTCAGCTCTAATTCTAGCTTCCTGCTAACGTGCACTCTGGAAAGCAGCTGGTAATGGCTTAAGTACTGCAGCCCAGGAGGGAGACCCAGACTAAGTTTCAGGCTCTTGGCTTCAGATTGCCGCCCCGCCCTCCAAAGCTGTTGCGGGCACTGGAGAACAAACGAGTACATGGAAGTTCTTTGTGTTTCAAATAAAATGAACATTTTTTCTTAAGGGAATTTCTATTTAGAGACTTAAAGAATTTAATTTTTTTAAAAAGGTCAGGGAGTACTAGCACTCTGCTGCCTGTCCTGCAACTGCAGAGACCGTAGGGAGCTCGCCTGGTTTCTTATCTGTACTCTAGACTTGTAAGGACTTTACCTGAAGGAAGATCTGCTGGAGTCTTTCTATACAGTTCTTGTACCATGGCGTTAACACACTGGTCCCGTCAGTCTCACATCGTACTAAATGTTCAGTCAAGATCATGATAAAGCGCTGGAAAGGGTACATGAGGTTGAAGTATTAGAGCATCACCCACCAGAAACAAATTCATGACAGAGACCTCAACGGATTGCTTGTTCCAACCTGTCTTTGGGACATGCGCTCCTAGCTTTCATAGTTCATTAGACACCATCGATCTAGAATGGTGGTAATGTGAGTGGGTACAATTTTTTTGGCAGTACATAAAGATCTTTAATTTCTAAATTGCTTTCGCTACTAATAGTATTTCTTGGCATCTATTCTAAAGGAGACAATCAGAAATGTTAACAGAAGTCTATGTACAAAACTATCGGGGAGAATCATCTACATAATCAACAGGAAATAATCATTAAATATGCAGCAAATGTTTAACAAAAGCAACTCCAAGTTGCTTTTACAGCACAGAGAAACACTCATGCAAGAGTACAGGTTACCAGCACAGCAGCTGGAGGGACATGTTGGACCTCCCAGTGATGAACGTTTATTGTTTATAAATTTCTGTATTTCAAAACTTCTGTAAATGAGTATGTACTTTTGTGATTATGGCACAGCAGGTTAAAGTCCTGGCCTATAGCACCAGCATCCCATGTGAGGCAAGGATCAAGTCCTGGCTTCTCTACTTTCTGAGCCAGCTAATGTGCCTGGGAAAGCAGTGGAGGATGGCCCAAGTGCTTGGGTTCCTGCACCCATGTGGGAGACCTGGAAGCTCCTGGCTTTGGACTGGCCCAGCTGCAGCCATTTGGGGAATGAACCAGCAGATGGCAGACCTCTCTTTCTGTATATTCTGCCTTTCAAATAAACAAACCTTCTTATACATTTTTTTATGCCTAAGAAATGCATTGTTTGGGTTTACGTACAATGTCCCAGGCCACAATACCTGAAATATGACAAGGAAGAGGTTCTTTTGTTCACTCTGAGCGGATTCCACTTTTTCCTGTAGTCTCTCTATTTGCTCCTCAAGGGCCCCATCTTTTCTGTCACTGCCTCTGTCGTCATCGTCACTTCGCTACAGCAGGCAAAGGAACACAAAACAGCTTTTAGGATTGCAGTGTATTAAAATCCCATGAGCAAGGGGTGCTCGCTGAGGCCAGGGCAATGTAGTGGCTCCTGTCCAATGATGGTGCAGGCTGCTGGCTACATCATCACCATCTGACCGTCTGCACAGTAGCAACAGGGAGGCAGTCTGCTCACCCTTCAGCCCCTAAAGGGCAAGATGGAAAAGCTGGGCAGGCCCTTCTGTAGCTCATGAGCCACAGGCTGCTCTTCCTTGTCCTAAGCAGAAATGGCTGTGACTAACATGTAGTAATTCAAAATAGACTGCTCAACAATCTGCAGGCAACCATGGGCTCGATGCATCCCTGTAACGCTTTAATAATCCTTTCCCAGCTCACCTGGAGGGCTATATAGCATCTGCTTAGGTTTCTAAAAACAAGGCATAATTGGGGCGGGCTCTGACAGAGCAGGTTAAGCAACCACCTCTGACTCCATCATCCCATACGAGCCCTGCTTCATATCCCAGCTGCTCCACTTCCAATCCAGCTCCCTACTAATGTGCCTTGGAAAGCCGTGGAGGATGGCCCAGGTCCTTGGGCTCCTGTACCCACAGGGGGAGATCTGGAAGGAGCTCCAGGATCCTGGCTTTGGTCTGACCCAGTGATGGCCATATGGGCCATTTGTGGAGTGAGCCAATAGATGAAAGATCTCTTTGCCTTCCAAATGTATATAAAATGAAACAAACCCCACAAAACTTAACAAAAACCAAAACCAAAGTACAATTTATACTTTCCAGAGAAGGGAACAGGCTGAGAGGTACTCTGTTAGCGTCACCTAACAGGAAGTGGCAGCCAGAACCTGGTTCTAGGCATGTCGCATACCAAGGTCCTTTCAGCAAAGGCAGACATCACCGACTCGAAACCCTGCTAAGCCCTCTAGAAGATGATGGCCTCCCCTACTCTTAGAGGAGTCTGCTCTATCAATGCTTTACTTACCAGACTCCCCCTGATCTGACAGCACTTGTCTGAGATCAGTCCACTATGTTCTAGGCACCTAGGTATGGCAATGCCTTCTAACACGAAGGGGCACTGGTGCCCAGCCAAATGTTCTGCAACCAGGGACATGTTAAACGAACCTGTGCTGTCTGTTAACTACAGCTTCTAGCTGTATGTGGCTACTGAACACTGGAGATGCAGGTTGTCTGGCCAGGGAACCGAGTTCTAAATTGTGTTTCATGTAACTAAATAGTCCCCAAGGCCACTCCTGGACAGCACCTTTCTAGAGAACAGTGGAATACTGCAGAGTCTCTGCAGTCTGGCAGACCTGGGTCAGAACCTCGCTCCAGGTGTCACTTACTAGCTGAATAACCCTGATCAAACTGACTTCTCTGAGCTTCAATGTTTGCATCTATAAAATGAAACGACACTGTTCACCTGCAGTTGTTTATTCAAGTGTATTTATTCATATGTAGAGACTGGCACTCAAACTGGCTATAGGTTCACATATGCATGAAGCCTTTTTAAAACCTACCCTGGTAAATACACATTATAATGCTAGAAAATCTGGCCATTGTACCAGCACTATCACGTTCAGCCACAGAACGCAGTCAGCTCACTGAAACACTAACGTCTCACTACTAGAAGTAGCTGGTCAGCATGGACTGACCGCCTCACCCCTGCACGCAGCACAGGGCAAGTCTCCTCCCTTCCCCCCTCCAGTACAGGGACTATCAGAAGTGTTCTCATCCCTTCTCCTCTCCTTTTGGGAAGTACGAGCAGGCAGCTGACCCTGAAATGGTGGACTATGGAAAAGTAAAATTTGCGGCTTCCTAAAAAGTTCACCACACAACCAACGACCTGCTTCTTTCTCCCTCTGCCTCTGTAAACAGCTTTGCATAATTTGGCCTCAGAAAAAAAAACCAGCTTTACAATCAAGGTACTGGGCCTTGATGTCCTCCAGCATTTCTAGTCCGCCTTCTTGAGGCATTTATGAGTCAACCAAGACCTACCCGTTTGTGTTGCCTTGCAAGTTTCTCTTTAGCTTCTTCTAGCTCTTTCTGGATCTTCAGAACGTGTTTGTTCATCTTACGAATCGTAGAATGCAAGATTTCCCAAACAAACAATCTTAAAGTAACAATGGTATTTGATTATTATGTGAAGTCACAGACATAAAACCTTAATTTTAATACCTTTTTTAAACTTGATTTCCTTATTTGAAGGGCAGAGACACTATCTTTCATCTGCTGGTTTACTCCCCAAATGCCTGCAACAGCTGGAATTGCGCCAGGATGAATTCCATGAGCTGGGAACTCCATCCTGGTCTCCCACATGAGTGGCAGTGACCCAAGTGCTTGAGCAATCACTGCTGCCTCCCAGGGTGTGCATTAGCAAGAGGCAGGATTGGAAGCAGAGCAGGGACTCAAAGCCAGGCACTCTGATATGGGACGTTGGCATCCCACGGGGTGACTTCACCACCATGCCAAATGCCTACTCCATAACCTGTTCTTAAAGACTAGTGTAGTCTTTGGCCAGAACTAGTCACATTTCTCCAGCACTACTGATGACTTCCTTTTTATTGTAGATAAGCACCTATCTTCACATTAGGCACAGGTAATCTCAGGTGAGCTGAGGGCAACAATGTGTCTCATTTTTCTTATTTCAATCTCCTATTAAATAGATTGGCTTGAAATGGCAAACTGAAAGATACTAACAGTAGCAACAGAAACAATTTTCTCTCTACTAAATGTAAATGCTAAACGTTAAAATTTTCTCCAAGTGGTGGTTTAACCTGAGGCTCACTTCACAGACGTTAACTGTTTAACCACCATATACTCTTGGAAAGCCTAAACTCACTGTCAACAGCTGCTGACTAATGCCCTGTAAGAATGAGGTATTCATCTCTATGTTGTCTTAGCAAATAGCTCAAACATCAAGTTCACCCTGCATGTGCTTTAAAGTGCATTTCCAGTATGTCTAGAAAGGTGCACAAATGGTTTTTCTAAAATAACCTTCTCAGCTACTTTTGCATCTATAAACCAACCTCCTAACTCCAGGATATAGCGGAGATTAGTACTTCTTTCTACAGATATTAACCTAGATGACAACTGAAGTGGACGATAAAACTCTGCATGAGGTGGGCCACTGTGGCACAGTGGCTTATGGCCGCATCCCTATCAGAGTGTCCGGTCTGAGCTCCTACTACTGCATTCTTCAGCAGACCCAGCTTCCTGCTAATGCGCTTTGGCAGGGCAGTGCACGACGGCCAAAGTACTTGAGTTCCTGAGACCCAGATGTGAGACCCAGATGGAGTTCCTAGCTCCTGGATTTGGCCTGGCCCAACCCTGGCTGTTGCAGGCGTTTGAGATATGAACCAGCAGATGGAAGATCTCTCATTACCTCCTCCTCCATCTTCACCCCCACCCTAATGACTCTGCCCTTAAAAATAAATAAATCTCTATTAAAAAAAATATCTGGGGGCCGGTGCTGTGGCGTAGTGGGTAAAGGTGCCACCTGCAGTGCAGACATCCCATATGGGCATCGGTTCTAGTCCCGGTTGTTTCACTTCTGATCCAGCTCTCTGCTATGACCTGGGAAAGCAGTAGAAGATGGCCCAAGTCCTTGGGCCCCTTCACACGCCTGGGAGACCCGGAAGAAGCTCCTAGTTCCTGACTTTGGATGGCACAGCTATGGCTGTTGTGGCCATCTGTGGAGTGAACCAGCAGATGAAGACCTCTCCTTTTCTCTCTGCCTAACTCTGCCTTTTAAAATAAAATATTAAAAAAAATCTGTGCACAAACTTTCAGTCTAAAATGCTAGAAGATAGGACAGACAGGCAGAGCGCGTTCATCCTGAAGTGGGGGGAGAAGGTGGGGCAGAGTTAAGAGATACCTGAGAGTTCACAGAGCTCTTGCTCAACGACTTGATTCTAGGATGCCTGCCTGAGTCTGAATCCTGGCTCTGCACCGATCTGTGACTCTGGGAAAGCTGTGTAAACATTCTGTGACAATTTTCTTTAAAATGTGAACAGTGGAACCTCCTTTCACTCATGGTAATGGTTAACTTAACAGGATGGTCAGTTCTCAGTGCAACCCTGAGAATGCTTTCTGTTGTCTGCATTTGTGATCGCCCACTGACTAGAGTGACGACCTCAGCTCACACCCCGTCACACCGAGGACTCAGGCCGTGTCAGACCAGTGTCCTCAAGTAATCGCAGTTACTGCGGAGAAGGTAGAAGCTCCGATAGATTTTTGTTTCTAAGTAACTCACTTTTGTACTGTTTTGTGTCATCTCCTGCTATCTCAGTCCCAACCAATTCTAAAGCCTGTGAAATTTCACAAATAAGAACCGAGTTAATGAGAAGTTCCTTCCCTTTAGGGGAACAGGTGTAGAATTATATCTGCATTATATCTAGGATTTTGTGGCCAAGATGCAAATGTGTCCAGCTTTCCTTGTCCCTGGCATGACTGATACACCCAAGCCCCATCTGGCCTAGCAGAGACTCCAACACACAGCCAGCTCTTCCACATCCTGCTTCCCAACAGTCCTGACAGCACTCCTACCTGACCGGCTTAGACCTGATTCAAATGAGTGTGACCCTAGGAGATGCTGCAACCTGATGGGCTATGGGTATTTCCATTGTCTAGAAATACCTATGAAGTCCAGTCCTACCAGATTGGACCATTAGGATATTGACACCACCTAGTTTGGACCAGAATTTTGAGTTCATGTTTAAGAGATAACACATAACATATGCCAATTCTTAGAGAATTAAAAACGTTGTAAAGTCAGTCCTATTACCTAATAAAATCACGAGACAGTTCTGAAGAAAAGATCCAATTTGCTACTGCAGCACAATCAACAATCTGTGTACGAATCATCTTATCCACCAGTACAGCAATCATCTGTAACGAGACAATTATTAGGGTAAACATTTTATGTATGCCAAAATAATACTGCTATAAAGTAAAACAGTGGGGCTATAACATTGCTTTTTAGTGGCTATGAAATTAATCAATTTGGCCAGTAGGTCTTCAGATTTATTTTGCTCCTTGCTTGGTTCTAGCACTATAAGAAATATTAACAAATTGGAGCCAGCGTTGTGGTGTAGCCTGAGATGCCCTCATCCCATATGGGCAATCAGTTCAAGTCCCAGCTGCTCCACTCCTGATCCAGCTCCTTGCTAATGGCCTGGGAAAAGCAGAAGATGGCCCAAGTGTTTGGGCCCCTGCTGCCCATGTGGGAGACCTGGGAGCTCCTGGCTTCAGCCTGGCCCAGCGCTGGCTGTTGCAGCCATCTGAGTGTGAACCGGTAGATGGAAGACCTCCCTCAAAATAACTAAATGGTAACACCTAAAATTTTAGATAATTCCTATACAAGTATATAACTTCAACTGAATACAACAGGTCAAAAATAATTTTATCATAAAAAGTCTTAACCGTCCTTTCAAACATTTCAATGCCTTTTAATAATACATAGAATTAAAAAATTGTTTTACAAACCGAAACAAAGGTAATTAGTTGCCTAATTTTTGTAGTCCTACAATGAGGGAGCCACAACATGGCTTACCTGCGGATGGTTCCTCCAAACCTCAAACATAACCCTCAGCACGTGTAACTTTCCTTCATCACTTTCTGCTAGTGTTTTGAAGACTTCGTGAAACCTTTAGACAACACAGGGAAAAGTGTCACATACACTCACTCCTTTTAATGTTTGCAAGGTTAATTTATAATATCTAAGTGCAAAATTACCAACTATTAGTCACTGAAGATATAAGAAAGTCATATTATACTGTAAGCCCAAGACCTAGGGACAAGTTAACGTTAAGGAACTGTCTGCAAATCTGAAGTACCTGTTTTCATTCTCTGTGGGAACCCTGCAAGCAGTACAGAGCCTGGGGAGCTGGGAAGGAATGAGACGGCCAGCTCCCTTCCCTCCCACCGCGGCCGAGGCAGGATCCAGGATCTATAAGTTCCTTCTTTTGCTGAGGTGTCTGGTGAGTTAGAAATCAGTCTTTAGATGCCAACCTCTGGGTGGCTCCCCAAAATGTAGCTGGCTCTCATTTCTGCTTCCCTTCCTTTCAGAGGATGCGTTAGCAGCACAGGAGCTATGGACTATATATACACGACTGTTCCAAGGGCCCGAGATTGCATTAGTTTCTCCAAATGTACGAAAAAGTATACATTGCATGTGTACACTGTACATATAGACTGACAGAAGCCAGGAAACAGAAATTTTAACTAAAACAAATCAAAACCCATTGTGTGGCCAGCACCGTGGCTCAGTAGGCTAATCCTCCGCCTTGTGGCGCCGGCACACTGGGTTCTAGCCCCGGACGGGGCACCGGATTCTGTCCCAGTTGCCCCTCTTCCAGGCCAGCTCTCTGCTGTGGCCCGGGAGTGCAGTGGAGGATGGCCCAAGTGCTTGGACCCTACACCCCATGGGAGACCAGGAGAAGCACCTGGCTCCTGGCTTCGGATCAGCACAGCACGCCGGTCATAGCGGCCACTTGGGGAGTGAACCAACGGAAGGAAGACCTTTCTCTCTGTCTCTAACTCTGCCTGTCCAAAAAAAAAAAAAAAACACCATTGTGTGGAATCATATATTAAGATCTTCATATTAATCAATTTTAGGTTAAAAAAAAAAAAAATCAGTGTATCACTGAAGCTCAGCGAGTCCCAAGCCCCCAGAAAGGCTCCGTGCTGCTGCTGCTCACTTACTTGGCCAGGGCACTGAAGGAGTGGCTGAAGGACTTGGCTGCCAAGTGCAGCAGGGTCTGCACAAACACCTCTATTTTCAACGGGTTAAAACTGAATCCTTCATCTGAAAAATATTTCATAGCAAGATGAAAAAAAATGAGTACAGCAATTCCTTGGTGCCTCACCTAGAATGAATGCTCCAAACAAAACACTATGTCAGACATTTATATAACATCTTTTAGTATTAAAAAGAATAAAAGACCATTACTGATTTCAAATACGCAAAATATGAAACTAAGCACAATCTTAATTCTTAGTTCTATGGGACTACGTTTCCCAGCTGATCCTGTATGGGCCATTTCTTTAAAAGATACTATATAGATTTCCTTATTCATAGTCTCCCTATATGATAGCAAGGTCATACATCAACA